TGATCAACACGTCAAAAAAGAAAGGTATTGATGCTTAAGAATAAACGACTAATGGTCAGAGATCTCACTGGCGTCGTTGGAATGTCGGAAGGATCAGCAAAACCATTGTAAAAGATCATTGGTGCCTAGGAAAAGTGATAGCGGGATTGGTTCCAAAATCACTAAATTTTTTCAAAAAATACCATCGCGATAACATCTGTGAAGTAATGCTTTCCGACTATCAGGATATCATTAAATGTATTATTACTGGCGACGAGTCTCAAGTCTTTGCTTACGACCTGAAAACAGACGACCAATCGGCCAAATATCGTGGAAAAGGTAAGTCGTATTCGAAAATGCCACTTCAAGCTGGTCACAAATGAAGGCTATGTTGACAGTTTTCTTCGATTATCGGGGTGTGATGCACTTGAAATTCTTTTCAGTCGGCCAAACTGTCAACGGGGCCATTTGACAGTGATGCATCGTTTGTAAAATAAGCCGAAATAATTGACTTTAAMAACTGTTYCGAGGTTTGGAAAAAAAGTTGAGACAAGATAGTCTTACTATTTTTCGCTCATAGTAGCACTCATCTAAGTTGTGAATCAATCATGACTAYAGARCCGGACAGCCGCTGCTGTCTACCARCTCTCTAACGTTCTAGAGCACCGAGAACTTTTTKCTAATTATCAAATRACTCGAAATGCAKRATTTACATAAATTTTTTAGATAATATTTACATGTAGCTAATTTTTTTACTGCTCTTAATCGCATATTTTGGGGAATTATTTTTTATTTATTTATTTTYRRAGCAAAAAGTATTTTTAATGAAATTATGTCTTCAAGGAATATATAAAAAATGCCCAAAAAAATATATTTCCAAATAGGCTTAATATTTGGAATGAAATAAAGAATGGCAGTACCGTGCAGATGTTACAGCGTGTTAGACTTTAAAAAAATGCGAAGGAAATATTCAGATTGTATAACGAACTAGCTAAGAGAAGCGTATTTGTACTACATGTTTTTGGTGGCAAGTATTGGATAATCTAGTTCTAAAATAGAAGCAATGACTGCAGTTTGAGGCTAYAACAAATATATTCTATTATTGATTGGAGGGTACAATTGAGAGAAACTGCTAATGGAGTGAAAAACCGTGGTTTTTATAATATAATCTTGAAAAATAAWTAAAAATTCTCGTATTCTATGAAATATCATATCGGCCACTGCTTACGCCATAAAAACTATAATATATGCTTTTATAGCAATATTCATCGCCGTGTGCTACTCCTCTGGCATATGAATAAGGAAATTCATWTGAACTGCAGCACTTGCAGCGCTTGTAAGTACATGTGGCATATGTCAAGATATATGACCGCATCAGCTGCAACAAAATGCTATTAAGACAGGCAGTCATGAGCAGCCTCACATGCGTTCAAACTATATAGTTCCCACGTAATATGGATACATGCAATAACATTGATGGGTATACATTATGATATACTTGTATGTWTGMGTGYAGCGGCTGCGTGGCCACTGAAGAGTGCAAAGTGTGTGGCGTGTTGCATGCATTTGACCGACGGCTACAGTCACACACACACATATACAAATCGGCATACGTTTAGTATGGAAGTTAACAGATACCCTAGATACTTAGCTCTCAGAGTGCTTTGCTTAACCATTAAACAGTTTYGCAGTTGCACTAGTAGCTTTAATTGCTGTAGTAAATTGCAATTTGTGGCATAAAAATCAAATTTGAGCTCACCTTGCTCACTCTAATCAGCTTCTGCTATACGTTTAATTTATATGATTTTCCATTTATTCTATCAACTAACCAACTACCGACTTAACTAGTGAACTCCATCTGGCATCGCAAAGGACCAAACTGGTCTATGCGTGGCTTAGATTAACCGAACCGAACCGAACCAGATTAAGCTAACATAACCCAACTACCCAACTAGGTGTAATAATAGGTTTAAACGGGCCCTCTTTCAAGATAGAAATGCATTTGGTATTGTTTCAATTCCCACCCAAAAAACTCCTAGTTATGGATGAAAAAGGGAATCAAAAATCTATTAGAAAGTGCCACAAATTTATTGAGGCGACTAATATCAAGTGCCATTTAGTCTCCGGGTTCGTAAAAAATATGTCAACCGAGATGCTCAACTTTAGTCTGGGGAAAGTTGAACAGTGTGGGAGAAAGTGTTTCGATATTTTCACCTCATCTTTCTCAATGAAACTTTGACAAGCTGTGACCTCTAAAATCTTCAGCCTCACAGCATGGGTGCCAATGGGAAGTCACTAGTAAAGACGCTTAACATTGCGGGGATGTGAACCTTGCTAAGAGCTAGCAATGCTCTCTTTACGTTGCGCTTTGAGCCAATAGGCTTTTCATTGATTGCTGAACAACGACTGTTGAGCCCGAGTGAAGCCGGAAGGTACGAAGACAGGGCTTAAAATTTCTGGCGATTCTGGTGATTCCGCTGAGGCATCTAGTCGATGTAGCTTGATGCTAATGATAAAGGGCGCAAAATTCCTTGACTAGCTTGGAGCTCACAGTCAGCGCGCCCAAGGGCCGTATAACAACTCTGATATCGGAGCATGAAAAGAAGCCAAAGAAGTACATATGCTTTTACCTTGATGGCTGCTACTCCTGCTTAAAAAACATTACAATGACCTATTAGTCTGAAACAATAGTTGTTTGAGAATTCCCGGCAGAAGTCTGTACCTCCAATCTTTACCTTGATCTTTAACCTATCTATCGGAGATATTGGTTGAAAAATATTTCCCTTCCGCGTTTTTGCTCTTTATTTAATGCTTTATAAAAAGTGTTACAGTAATCAGATTTAGTTCATAGACTCYACCACTCTTCACAAGCCCCTTTTCAGTTCAACTTTACCCSAGTAAKGCGTTYGCCATGGACAGGAGCAGGTGGTAATCACTTGGCGCTAGGTCCGGGCTAAATGGTGGCTGCAATAAAACTTCCCATCCGAGCTTCTGTAGCTTCTGACGAGTCATCAACGAAGTGTGTGGTCTGGCGTTGCCCTGGTGGAACACTACACCCCTCCTGTTGGCCAATTCTGGACGCTTCTGGTCGATTGCCTGCTTCAAGCGCTTCAGTTGTTCGCAATAGATGGTAGAATCACAGAACTCTGCAGGTGATTTAAAATGGTTTGCCACATGCCGGCCTAACTCGATGTTTTTCATGATTTGATCGGTGTTCGTCGTCACAGAACTTCCGCCGGCTGGCTTATCCGTGTTGTCGTTTTTACCCGCTTTAAATCGTAGAAACCCTTTCTCCGCAGTTCGAAGTGATAGAGTACCATCCCTCAAAACACCATTAATCTCACGGATCGATCCTATACCAGATTTTCCTTTAACGAAGGGAAACTTTAAAATAGCGCGAATTTCGGCGTTAGTAAACTCCATGTTTACATGTAAATAACTATTGAACGCGATATCCCAACTAATCATGTATAGCGTCGTTTTGTAGGTTATGTCAATGCCTCTCAAATATGTATAGTTTTCCTTGATACGAATTCTGCAGATCTTTTTTTTTTTTTATAAAATATGAGCATATTGTGCGGAAAAAATACTGTTAAAAGAGATGTAATCGAAGTGAAATATTTTAGAAATGCTCCTCTCGGGGAGCCTTAATGGAATGTCAACGAAAACTGGTGTTTACCGACCGCCATGCACCAAATATCATTGATCAGTACTGGATAAAGTACGGCTTCGTAAAGTCGAAGCTCAACTTTTAGTAAGAGACTCTAACACTAAAAAGCTCCTTCACCCTCCCTTTAACATTGAGCTTCCATGATACCTCTGGGCTACAAAGTATCTCACCTTATCGACAGGGTGAAGTCGAGAGTGAGGAAGAAAAAAGAAGAAATGTTTAGCTCATTAAGCGCATATTTATTTTCGATATTCGAGTAATCTCTTCTTTTTCATTTATTCTATTTCTCCCCTATATATAAGTTTAATGTAATGGCCCGTCCTCACTATCTTCTTGCTTTATATCTTGTTCGTCTGCAGCGTCATCGAACTTTTTCATATCAAAATCTTCCACTAGGCTTGGTAACGAGATTGATTTCGTCTTCTGGAATTCTATCTTTTCGAGTTCGGCTTTCTGTTCGGCTGTCAAATACTTCATCTTGAGCAGTAGGGCAAACTTCTCTTTTCGGCTGCGTTGTTTCGCTTGCGAACGCTTCAAGCGATAGAAATCTTCACGTTCATATTCCTCCAGTTCGTCACGTATATAGTTGACGGTATTGTGAAAACGTGGCAGCACCACATATTCCAAACCGTTCACGCGCATATTATTTTGACGTACACCATCGCGCAGCGTACTCACAGAGTACTCGAGCGAGGCGAGTGTAACGAGTGTACGTACGGCGTCTTGAAAGTTCTCACGCACGACTTCCACTTGTTCACCGCCACGCGACAAGCCGGTCAAAGGAAAACTAGCCGGACTATCGACGTACAGCTGGAATTGTGGTAGCAGTATGCCCGCTACCCGGGCATTTCTTATACGCATATAAATGTCCGCTTTGTCGATCTGCATGAGTTCGCAGGCCCGCATGTCGGCGTCGAGGAAATTCGCTTTTGCCATCGAAAATATTGCTTCGGCCATTACCTTATCCACCACTTCTCGAGCAGCTTCCAAATCGGCTGTCAGTTCGCGTAGTTTCATTTCAAGTGCATCGCGCCGCCGCTTAAGCAAATTTAGGCCTCTCGACGCGGCTACAATGCGCTGTTTCATGAGCACGAGATTGGCGCGCGAGGGAAAGATGTTGACCCGATCTTGCATTTGTTGGTGTCTATTCTGCGGTGACTGTTTTTTTCTGCTTTCTGCTTTTTACTGATTTATTTTCTTCTTTCAAAATATAATCGTAATGAAATGATAATTGTTTTCCTAGGTAACTTGTTTCAATATTTTGAGAAATTGAGTTCTTTTTATTCTTTCATTCTGCTCCATAAGTAAATGGAGTAGAGTTTACATGAAATCTACAACAACCACAAAAGCTCGTAAGTTAATATTAGTTAAGATATTATTACATTTTTCTCTTATCATAAAGTCATACTAAAATTTAAAATGTGTAAGCGTTAAAATAACCATTTGGCTTCAAAATAAATATTTCCTTTACTAAGAGCAATTAAATGCTAAAAATGGTCCACTATCGATATGGATGGCGTAGCTTTGCTTGTGGCTTTTGCATTTTATGTCAGTACCGCACTTATCTAAACAGTTTGAGAAATAAGAAACAGCTTCGAAATCTTTTTTGTAAACGCAACGAAATCGACTGTAAGGCTGGCAGGATCAGCAGGTTCAAAAACACATACATTATGACAAAAAAGCACCAGAAAATTCTATTTAAATTCCCCGTCTAAACGATATTGCAAAAAAATGTGTGACTATCGGAAGAATGTTGAAGATACGCCTCGTTCTGGACGACCTTCGACCTTTTCAACTGATGAAATATTAAAAAAATTAAGAATTTAAGCAGCATGAAAATCGTCCATATCTCACGCGTTTCCATTCGAATGATTTTGGTGTATATTTTGGGCATGAAACGTGTTCTTACTAAGATGAAGTTTTTTCAAAAATAGTACCGTAAACAGGACTCGTTGGACATGTTTGATCGTGCGAATATCTGTCAACAACGTCCGGAATGTGGGAGAACTTGTCATCTATTTGACACGATCATAATGTTCGTAATCGAATTTAAAGCTAAAAACGCAACGATTACCAGCGTTCAACCACCGTATTTATCAGAATTGGCTGCGTGTGATTTTTTCTTACTCTTCAAACTGAAATTGCTGCCACGGGTTACACGTTTTCAGTCGATCGAAGTGATAAAACAAAATTCGCTGAAAAAGCTGAAGACCATCACAAAAAGAGCTTGAGAAAAGTATTTGGGAGAMTGGAATTGTTGGCACAAGTGTATTACACCTGGTGGGGATTACTTTGAAGGCGATCAAATAAATATTGATGAATAGTTATATAATTTGGGTTTTATTCCGGATACTTTTTGCCATTGTTTGGTATATGACCACAAATATTTTAGATTATTTTATAAGCTGTCCAAGTCATCCTCGATTTTCTGCTAGCTAAGTCTGCGCTTCTATTTCTTTACAAAATGACTTCAAGGCATTCGTTTTTCATATTGTCAAAAAGCTGTGAAAGTATTATTGAAATCTCAACAGCGGTGTTTGAGCTGCGGTGCTCACTAGGTCAAAAAATAGGGTTTTTAGGAAAAAAGTTTGAAATTAATCGTAAATCTGCTTCTGGCAACCTGCTCTCAAAAGTTTTAGAGCCCCAAAAATGCTTTGCTAATTACAAAAAGGTGCGAAAAGTTTTTGTCAGATTTACTTAAAATTTTCAGAGAATATTTCTAGCAATTTAGACTATCCCTAATCCCTTGAATAGACTTAAGAGCAACGAAGTGTATTTTTAATACATTAGCTGAAAACTATGCCAATGAACATTTCTTACACTAAAGGCAATACTCGTTTCTATGGCCAGATATTTTTTAAACACTGTACCTTTTCCCGTTACTTATTCACGTACATACCATATGTAAACTGTCGCATTTCCCGCCGACAATTAAACATTCTTACATACATACTTGTATATAAATACCGTTCACCGTTTCGCTGCTGTGGTCGCTAAAGTCGGTTGCCGCCAGTCTTAATATATTATTTACGACATTTTAATGGAGAAAAATGTTTAGAATCATAAAATGTATGAGTTAAAAAATAGGCTTTTCTTCGGCTTATGTACCGCATGAGCGAATGAAACAAATGGCGAGAAAAGACAGCGTAGACAACAAAGCAATTATTCTTTTGCGCCAGAGGAAGCAACCTAAGTGAATAGGCCAGATTGTGGGTAGTTTGATGAAATACGGCGCAGAGCCATAGAAATGCACTTAATTATATTTATGTATATATAACTATTCAGGTAACTGGTAAAAATGGCATAATAACATAAGGTTAATAAATGAAAATTTGTTGTTTGATTGCGACTCACAATATACTTATAGAAAATGTATATTTGAATTAGAATATAAGTAAATGCTAGCAAAATAAACTATTGGTGATATTTGTTTTCGATTAATTTTTCCACGAAATTCCTGGTAACTTATTATACCCTTCACAAAGTATTTTCACAAAAGTTGGCACAGGTTATTTTCTAAAGCAGCAATGTTATCTCCGAAGAAATTGTTCAGATCGGTTAACTATAGCATATAGCTGCCATACAAACTGAACTTTGACAAGATATACTCACGAAATTTGGTATAGATTATTTTTTAAGGCAACAATGTAATCTCTAAACTAACAGAAATGCATCTGTGAAGGATATTTAGCTTCGGTGCAAGCGAAGTTAACGTTTTTTCTTGTTTTTAGAATACATTTACAATAAAATTTTTGCAATTATTTAAAAATTATCATGTTCAGTATTTTTATTGGGAAAATATATCACATATTTATAGCAAAACAAAATTGATGTAATATTCAAATTCCTTTCAACAAAAAAATTTCCAAAGTACCCTCACCTTTCCTATCCTTGGGTGCCAACTGGTAATAGATACCATTGCATCACGACGTTGACAGGTAAGGGATAATGGCGGTTCGCCCATGTTTCTATTGGAACTTATTTAGTTACTTATGACTTTCTAATCGGGTGTTTGTTTCATTCAAGGCGACATATCACCTATGCCGAGGATCGATCAGCCTAGCCTTTAAATAGCCCAGTCTCGAACGCAGGTTAAATATTCATCGTGGATTCCGTAATAATATAGCCTTAATTGCATAGTAAGGCGTATATGTAAGCGGACCTATTATCCCCTACACAAGTGGGTCCAGATTATGAACTGTAGCAAAAATAATAATGTGTAAAAGAGTTCGGATCTCACGAAAAAACTTGGAAATAAGTAGTTGTTCTCAGCAAAGAGCAGGGTTCGTAGGAGATAAACTTGGTGTAAGTGTTGACACCAATTTTGGAGCTAAATCTAATCCTCCACCAGTGCCAGTTGTAGTTGGAATCAAACTTTGTAACCAGAGTATGCTGCAAAGTAGGGAGGGAAAGAAAATGCCAAAAGAGCGACGGGTAGTAAAGCACCTCCCATAGAAAGACCAACGAACCAATTGAAGAACGTGATCTTGAAGAAAAATTACAAGAAGCCAATGAAAGTGGATGCAAATGCTGGAAGTGCTATTAACCAATCCGGGTTCAACACCGTCATGTACAGATACCGGCTGGCAGCAGGGCCGAATGAAAATATAGGCTTGGAACTCGGTAAAAAAAAAAAGAGAATAATCTCCTAGAGATTATCTTCAGTATTGTGGATACTTCAAATATGATAATATTTTTTATCTTCTTATTTTTTATTGGCGTAGATACAACAGCGAGCCGGTCGTTCTTATTTTTCACTGTTTGGCCCTGATGCGAGATTCCAAGCAAAGCCAGAGGAAACCTTTGCTTTCCCCGGCTGGTACTGAGTCGAATACTGTCAGAGCTGAAGTGTGTCGCTGTCTTTTAATTTCCCGAACTATGTCAATGGCGTCGTAGAACTCGTACAACTTATCGTTCCATCGAATGCGTTGTTCGCCTTGACCAACGCGCAAAAGGACCGTAAATCCTCCACAGAAAGTTTTCCTCTAAAACTCGTAACGCTGGATCATCAGATGTCCATCTTATAGCAGGATGGTCTCAATACGTTTGCCATGGTCGTCATCAAAAGGGAAGTCTCTATTCCGAGGTTGTTGTGACGTTCTTGAAGCGTTTTTTTATATGGTGGATACCAAACCCAGCCTACAACCCTAATGAGGGTTGTTTGCCTTTTTATTTCAGTTCGCTTTTAAACGGATGTTTTTTGGCTACCCAGAAGATACTTGGTCTAAGGCCGGAGGTCATGAGCTGCTTGAGCCATATGTAAAAGAATAGTGGCTGGCTACTCCCAAATATATGACGCTCAGAGAACTTCCATGAACTTCTACACATGGCTCCATCATCCATAATAATTTTTTTAAACATATATGATTACTCCGAAATGTGAAGAAATCTCACCGGATTTTCAAGTTTTTCCAGTTTAAAGTCGAACAATTTAACAGCCAAATAAAGTAGCTTGCTTTAAGAACTACGTAATTGGATAGTTATAATTCCTGTTAACATATACTTCTCTAAAAAAATCGCCCTCTATATATTTATATACATTATTGTCTGTATATTTTTCCAGTTGTCATTGCCTCTTGCTTCCAATTCCGAACGCTCGTTTGCTAGTTTTATAGACTGATGTTCATGACCTTAGCCAACCATATTCTGCAATGTACATATATCTCCATAGATATATGAACAAAGTTCTTGCATACCTATGTAGTTAGCTGCTAAGAGTTTGCAAATAAATGCATGCATACCCTTTTACATACATATATGTACATTCCTTCATATATGTATATGTATATATATGTAAGTTCGAGTGGCGGTACAAAAATCTGACCTTAACTTACACGACAACCGATTTTTTTTTACTTTTCGCTGTACCGCTTCCACCATTCGCTGTTTGACAAAAGAAAATATTTGCCACTCGCGAGCGTAAATGAACGCTAGCAAATGCGGGAAGGCTGAGCTGCAATTTTTGAATTTCGACTACAAATTGAGGTCAAAGCTAYATACACTATGTGCATGTGTGTTGTTGTTGCGCCGCGATGTATCGTAAAAGCATTGCGGTGTGCCCTTGACATCGGCAGCAATGCAACTTGAAGAACTTTTGAAGGTTTCCGCCATTATTCTAATATACCACGACACTCAAACTAGGTACACATTACTTTGAGTCTTCTGTGTATGAAATACA